GGTGTCTAACTAGAGTTTATAATCAAGGACTCCTAGAACGGAGCATTCTTCCTAGTACCACACACCACTTCTTCGTATACTTTGTCTTCTCAGAAAGAGCTAGAGAAGTAACCATGTGATTCAATTGTCAAAAACACTGAGAGAAGATACCTAGAATCCATGCAGCAAAGGCTTAAAACCCAGTTTGCAAAGGATTTCCATCTGTACCATTTGAGCCTCACAATGATTTCTCGGGATAATAGGCATTATTTTTCTCATGAAAAAAAAAAAGTGGCTTTGCAAAGTTAAATGGGGAGGAAAAATTCAAATATGAGTTGACAGTTACAAGGATCAATGCTTTATCCACCCTTTCCCTTAAAGAATTATTAATTCTTTATTGCTCAAGGTCCAAACTATTGCTCAAGGTCCTTCAAGGACCACCTAAATACTCTGGAGGCACTAATGGCCATTCCTTATTGTTCAGGTGCCTATGTTTCCTTAACCCATCAGTTTTTGCACCATTTTTGCCAAGGGTTTTTAATGCAAAGCAGTGTAGAGGACCGGGTCTCGGGCGGGACTGCCCAGACTGGATCCAGCTCCGCCACTCACTGGCTGTGTGGTCCTGAGCAAGTTACTTGTCCTCCCTGGACTTTCGGTTTCCACATTTGTAAGATGAAGACAATAATAATGGCCTTCACCTCACAGACCCTATTTTATACACACTAACCTATTCAGTTTTGACAGCAGCCTATGTGGTTATACTTTACACACACACACGTGCACACACACACATACAATAAGCACCGTGAGAACAGGATTTTTGTTTATTTAGTATGTAGGAAACTGGCACGAAGAAGCAGTCAGAACAACAAATGCAAAGTCCCATTTCAACAATAACGCAGAAACTCAGAAGAAATACAAAGTTTAAAATTAACAAAAGTGTGGTGCTGCCATGATATCAGAGACCAAATTCTGACTCTTAGTGTTACTTCAGAAATGTCAGTTTTCCTGTCCAAACCTGTTTCCCTATCAGTAAATTTAGCTTGATCTAGGAGTTCCAAAATCTCTCTTCAAACTTCCTAATATAGTCCTTATATCTGTGGATTTCCTATTTAATATTCATAAAGCCAGGTAAATAATTCTTACTTCAGGCACACTATTTATATACTTAGAGTATTTATATATCTAAGTAATCCTCAATAATCTTAAAAAACTCTGCAACGGTTGTTGTTTTAACTCAAACAAATGTACAAAGGAAGCTGCCCATTTTTGTACCATTTCTGATACATTAAATTGATGGAATTATTTTCCATTTAATATACTTATATTATTCTGTAGTTTTCCCAATCTAAAATAATTTTTTTTAGGACCTAAAACCACCCTATAGAAGGTAGGGTGGGGCTGTAACGCACTGCGTAAGGCAGCTTCCACTTGGGAGAAATGAAGCACTAGCCGCTCCAGCAGCCAAGTGCACTCAGCACCTCTGCTGGGGAGGACCACACACTGTGCCCTGTTAGCTTCCGGTCTGAACGTTCCTGTTCCCAGGGTGGCCGCCACTCTTCCTGCTATTGTGGAATAATTCTTATGTGATTTTTGACATTATTACCAATTAAGAAGTCGAAGTCTTGGCTACACTATCCACTTTGAAATGTAGCCAAAATTTTTTTTTCCTAAGAGTACTATGTCTGTTGTATAAACATTAGTTTCTGAATCCTGCTTTGCACAGATGGGGTCATTTAAGTTTATATTCATTAATGCCAATTTCTATCAAAGCAAACAGATAATTTCATAAAATCTGAAGAACCTCCAAACCCTTGCACTTATGTTTAGAAAACTGCTAGCATTGAATAACTATTTGCTTTTTCAAAATTACCATTGGGTGGCCAAGCATTCACAAAACCCCGCTTCTTCCATTTCCCTCTCATTTTATCAACTATTCATTTAGTTCTACCTAGTAATGTTAACCAAAACCCTGCCCAACAAAAAAAACTGGTTCATCTATTTTAGAACTTGTTATTTATCGTGACTCTTTCTCAACTGCTCTTTGACATAGAAGGGTGATAAATCATTTACATCATGTTCCACTGTTTGTCTGATTAATAAGACACTTAGCAAATATTTGAATACTTTATGTAATAATGCACTGGCTGAGACAAAAGCAGTGTAGTAAAAAAAGGACTTTGCCCTTTAAGCCTTTGTTCTGCTACTTCTTCATGTAACCAGGAGCCACGTCACAACTGGGCAGCCTGAACTTCTTTACCTGATAATGGGAGTGACATGCACTTCACTGGATTCCTATAAAGGCTAAAGATGCTGTTGAAATTTGAAGAGTTTAAAAAATTTAAAACACTAAACAAGTAACCATTTGTAACCATGGGGACACAAAGCTGTTTAAGACTTTTTCCACACCACCGAGGAACTTACACTTCAGACCAAACTGTCACTTGAGCAGTTGATACAAGTTCTATCCTGCCAACCAGTAATTTCCAAACGACTTATAAATGATTTCCAATTATAATATTGGAAAATATTATATTTCTATTTGTAATATAAAAATAAAATTGAAAACCAACGCCCACTATCATTTAATATGCAAAGCAACACTGACAGCTCCAGGCACTCCAATGTCAGATGTCCCCTCCTCACATGGTGTGCTACCCCAGGTGGTTGGGACACAGCACATTCCTTTGTGTGTCTGCTTAAACATACTTGTGTACCTAGTGATTTAATTAAGCTACCTCTCACAAAATGAACAAGTAGTTTAAAACAACACTTACAAAGAAATCAGGATTTTCAAATACTAATGATGTAAATAAAAGCAAACAAAGGAAAATGACAAAGCTTACACTTACGCTGCTCCTAGTATGATTTCTGTCAGCCACATTAAAAGACAAGGTTTTGGAAACAGATGTTTTTAAAGGGTTCCATCACTGCAGTATTCACTTTTTAATCTTATGTATAAATAAAGCAAATGTTTCAGTTCAAATTTGTCTATTAAATTGTCACCATCCCTAATGCCAAACAGTAATTCTTCTAATCTCTACTGATTTGTGACACCTTCAAACTTTTTACAAAATGGGTCAAAACTAATAAAATTATTTATTTCAAAGGTTTTAAGTAGAAAATTCTGTTTCCACATGTTCAAAGCATTCAGTAATATAAATTACCGGTAACAGAAACTCTAACATTGCTTTTGGCACCAAAGTCATGATAATGAAGCATATTTGTACATTGTTTTCAAAGGTTATCACAATGAAATATATTTTGTCAGGATATTTTGGGATGATAAATAAATCAAGTATTTATTTCATATGTTTGAGAGAAAACATATTAGTGTGGTAGTGCCTGTATATAATTTTTAAATGTACCTATACATATTGTGGAATACATAATTAAAAATGTGAACATCTAGGTCTGTTTCATTGAGGTCATGCACCATTTCAGAAAGGTGGAATGATTGTTATTAATTATTTTATTTATATATTTTTAGAGAGAGGGGAAGGGAGGGAGAAAGAAGAGAGAAACTTCAATGTGCTGCTGCTTCTCGAGTGCCCCCTACTGGGGACCTGGCCCGCAACCCACCAGGCATGTGCCCTGACTGGGAATGGAACCAGTGACCCTTTGGTTCACAGGCCGGCACTCAATCCACTGAGCCACACCAGCCAGGGCAAAACAAAAGTGGAATAATTTAATGATAAATCATATATGCAGTTATTACATTTTCACAATACTTAAAAACAAAGACTCTTTTTTCAATTTTTTACCTTTGGTTTACTGTGTACATATTAGGGTGGGGCAAAAGTAGGTTTACAGTTAGTTATGAGGACACAAAACACACTTTATTCTTGTATTATTATTTATTAATTATTATATTATTTCCATACAAACCACTATAAACCTGCTTTGCCCACCCTGTATAACCTACATGAGTGCAGATTAACCACTTCCATTTGTTGTTGGGTCTGGAGGGTGAGTCCAGCGGTCACATGGCAACCAGAGAACAAGGCACATTTTACTAGACTGGTGCTCTGCCAAACCCAGGCAAGAGCAGCAGCCCTTCCTTCAAAAACAAACTTCTTTATGTTAGTTATAAGGATTTGCTCTAGTCGTCTGCTTACTAAATAGACTTAACCGTTTTGTTTTACAAAGTTGAATGTTAACAGTAAAACTGCCAGGAAACTGTCACGATGGTTGCAACCAAGTATCTTCCAGCATTTTACTGAAGAAATTGGATGCTACATTTACATGTAAAATGAAGGGTCATCAATTTATTCATTCCAGTACTGGAAAGACAGTTAGATCCAAAATGTATGTTCCAGAACTAGTTAAGAAAACAACAACTTAACACTCAGCAAAGTGTTAAAGTAGCCAAAATTCCTTGGCTTATTCATCACTTACTCATTCATAAACTCTTTAGTTTTTAATTTATTTTTTAATTACAGTTGACATACAGTATTATATTAGTTTCAGGTCTACAACTTAGACATTTATGTAACTTACAAAGTGATCACCTCAACAAGTGTATTAACCATCTGACAATATAGATATTTATGACAGTATTATTGACTTATTTCCTAGTGTTGTACTTTATATCCCTCTCTCATAAACTCTTAACGCTGTGAGGTTGGAGGAAATCTTAGCTGCCATCTAATCTAACCTGTAGCTGGTGGTGCTCGCTGCACTCAGTGGGAAGGCTGCATAAGCGACAGCAGCCCAGGCTGGCTGGTCTCCAGGTTCTGGAGAACTAATTCGGTCATAAAGCTCCTTCCTCCGACAGCTACTGTAGTTTTAGTAATTATGAAAGGTCATTCCTTTTAACTTTGAGTCCTATCTCGGCTTCCATAGTCATACACAAACATTAAAACATAAATAAATAAATAGTAAAATTTAAAAACCTCATCTGTTTTTATACAAAGTCATTCAAAGAATAAGGCTTGAGGGTCCACCATAGGCTCTGAGGGCTCAAATGTAAAAATAATTCCAGAAACTTATCAATAAAACAACAGGACAACACAATGATGTATTATTTGATTCCCTTTCTTTTACAAATATTTATTGAAGCCCCATTATTTTTCACATTTTGTGCTACACATAGGGAATAAAATCGTCTAATACAGAGTTGATCCCCACAATCACAGAGTTTAAAGACCAGAGGAGGAGACACATAGGCAATTACAGTGGAGAATGGTAAGCAGTATAATACCACGAAGCCTTCTAAGAAATATTTATAGTTCCATACCTGCCAAATCTTCTCTTCTTCATAATCAAAACAAACATTTAAATGCAAAGTTACTCTCAGAGAAAGAATCACTTTAGTAGACATGATTTTAAATTCATACACACGCACTCGCGCACACACACACACACATTGGTTGCTTTGTCAGTATTTACATACTGAAAATCAGTTTGAAAACACTGAATTCTCTCAGGATTCTGGAGGCACATAACTTCATATATTTGAAAGCAGAAATCCAAAAATATAAACATAGTACCATTCCTGATTTGTGCTTCTATAACCCTATAGAATTATTTGTAAACTGGTATTACTTGTGAAAATCTTTGAAAAGAGAAGCGGTTAACCTTCCAAGTACCTAGAAATTTCTACGTACATTAGGTGCTTAAGATAGACAGGGAAATTAACAGATTTTCCATATGGAAAAAAATGAGGACATGCCACCAGATCACCACATCACAGCAGAGTCAGTGCTGCTAGAGCAGAGAGCTGTGTGCACAGCACAATGGGAACCAAAGCCAGGGTGTTTCTCCCAGGGATGGAGAGAGCTGGGGAGGCCTTCACAGCAGGGGCATGGAGGCCCTGAGTGAACGAGAATTATCAGGTCCACAGGTAGGACGAATCCAGGTTGAAGGAGTCGGCTGTACTGTTACTTCATCTTTAAAAGATACAACCTTCCCAGAATCACAGACTAGTACCTCCCAGATCGGATAAAAAGCTCTGAACTAATGTAATGACGGCAAGTGGCTCTCTAATGAAAGATTGCTCCCTTTAAGCAGGAATCCAGGAGGGAGGTCCTCCCAGACAATATGAATTAGGTGTAGCCCCACATTTTGGGTTTACCAAGGCTGATATTAATCAGTTCTAAATAAATGAGGTGGAAACTAGTCCATTGTTTAAAAGGAAAGAGCTAGATGATAGCAATCAGTGTGAACAATAATGGTATTAAGAGAAGTGAACTTGGCAAAGGTACTTAGGTTGTATTTAATTTGAAGATTAGGAAGCTCTCCCTCCAATTTGGGGGACTACAAAGGGAAGGGGAAGGTAATTTTTTATCTTGAATGACAGAACCCTGGCTTAGAAAAGAAAGTGAGTAGGCTCATTTGGAAAAGAAACCTAAGCTTCAAGCCGATTCTTTCCTAAATCTCAACAGGAGCCAATGCAGTGCATATTCTATTCCATTAAAGATCCTGGTGCTTACAGACTGGGACTCACCATAAAATCTACCCAAATGTGACTCCAAGTACTTGTGAAATGGCTTTTCTTTCACTCTTTAGCCCCAAGGAAGTGCTTAGGGTTGAAAGACTAGCCTTTATCATTTAACTCTTAAGCTGTGTGAGCTTAAGTACTATATGAAACGAATTATCCCTATCTGTAAAATGAAGTTAGTAATATTTATTTTACAGTGTTTTTGTAAGGTCAAGTACCTCAAACTCTTAGCACAAGGATGGCACCTAATCAAAAAAAACCCATAAAATATATTCATTGGACCATCTTTTTTTAGCCAGGGGTACTGTAGGCCTATGATCAACAAAAAGATACCCTTCAGCAGTCTGCTTTATTTGAGAAAGCCTCTTCCACAGGACAATCTCCCCACCAATAACGTATCTGAGCATCTCATGATATCCTGAAGCCTTATCTTCTCCTTAGGATAGATGGTGGGGTTCCTCAGGTAATTAGAGAAAGAAAAGGCATTCAAAAAGATCACTGTGAGCAAAATGAAATACAAATTACTAATCCTAGCTTGTTCTGATAAATCATATCAATAAAAGAATATTCAAAAGAGAAAAAAAATGGTGCATATTGTTCCTTTTACTCAGAGGCTGAATGGCAAAGCCACCTAAGACTTCCAGATTATTTTTGTCTTTCTCCTGCGTAGTCGCTGGCTGTTCACATTCCAAAGTGGCGGTGGCTGCTTTCCATGGAAATGTTGGGGAGGGCAGCTGCCGTGGAGGTAGGTCACCAGGACTCCTCTGCATTTTACATGCACATAAAGACTCCAGAAGGGTCTGTAGCTGCTAGAGGCCTCCGCTGGCCATCAGAGGTAGGTAGGTCCAGTGCTGCATGCTGGTCTGCCTCTTAGCCCCAAGCCTGTGTTGGGCTGTGGTCTTAAAAGACCCCCTTAACAGATGCTCTATTTAATAACTACAAGACAATAAAAACTAGGGTTAATATTGCCTCTTAACAATACTTAATGATATTAATTTCTTTTAAGTAAAAAGAAAAACAGTGCTAGTATTTGAGATGCTAGTATTTTGATCATGCTATTTAAGACATCCACAAAAAGCCACCATTCTCAAAAGCTGAATGCTGAAGCATCATGCAGCCAACAGTCAAGAAGCACATGCAGATGCATTTGAAATGGACTGCCACTGGATAAACCTAACAATATTTTGAAATGCACTCAAGAAACAGGTTAATCAAGTAACACAGATACATTAAATTATATACTCTACAAATTCTAAATGCAGGCATAGTGATGTGTGGATCTATATTTCCAGACACAAGGCTATTTATCCCATTTAAGAGCAAATACAGGGACTACCTTTTCTACTGGGAATGAATCTGTAATTAGGGTGAAGAGTGAGAGTTTTAAGCCAAAATCGCATAAGCTGCAATCTGAGAATACCTTACTTTTTGTAAGGAAAAAAATGGTGAATATTTTGGAAAAGTTTCCTATTACATCTTTCTCCTAAGCTGTCACCAAATAACATGGTGAAGAGACTGTGAAATTCTGAAATAAAGGAAATTATTTAACAAAATCTACACTTACTCAACTACCAGAGAAGAACTCAGAAGAAACAGCTTTTTAGTTTCAACTCTAATTTTCATCTTGATCTGTTACTAGTGGCTGCCTGGAATGAGCTGTAGAGGTTAACCGGATGGAATGTTCTACCTAATAAGAAACCCTACCTGGAAGCCATGCCAACCATTGTTGGGACATTAAACAGTCTGACAAATGCCGCTGTAGGATAAGGCTGTAACCAGTTTTGTTTTTCATATCTCACTTCTAGTACTTATGAGCTAAGTAAAGGAGGAAGGGAAAGGGGAAAATGTTAAAATGCAAGAAAATTAAGTCTCTATCAACTTTTTTCTCTAAACAACCATTTCCCATCAAAATTCTGGACATTTAAATTTGTGAATCTAGTGAGAGCAATGATTTAAACACATATTCTGAAAGTGTGAAAATGTAAAGAGTGAAAAATATCCTCTTCCTCCAGTCAACATTTTATATTCTGAGAAGCAGCCATTTTTAAAAAGACGGGTGATAACTCACAGGAATGAGTGACAGATATGTCAATTTCTCTGGAAGAGCCATCTTCTCCACTAGAAGACAGACTTAAAATGCCATGGCTTGACATGGTTCCCTCATGAGTCTTTTTTGGAAAAAAAAATGAACCACCTGAGGCAGCCTAGCTACTTCAAGGATCTGAACTGAACTTAAGCTAACCATTTTTTAACTGAGTCTTTTCCTTTTCAGGTTCATGTCTGTTTATGTTATAAGCACCATACCTGGGAGAGCTAATCTAAAGTGTGCAAACAGAACATGTGAAAGTGGAAAACCACTCACACAAAATAGTGCAGGCATGTAAAAGGTAGCAAAGAAGCAGGCTCAAGCAAGAAATCTAAAAGAAAACCATAATCTCTCCGGTTTCATCTCCAGCTCCCTGATGAATACATAAACATTAACTTGCATAAGCAACCAGGAGGAGGGAAGCTTGCTTTTAAGAAGAAAGTTCAAATTTTTCAATGTAGCTCACCCAGTTTGTTCCTCTGATATGGTAAATCATATATTCCCACAGTTCCCAGCTGCATGAACAACTGACTGATAAAATCAGTGACATCCTATGAAGAGTTTACAATGGGAAATTGAGTCATTATATTGAGATTAAACATCATCATGAAAGAAAACAAAAACAAGTACTTTGGCATTCATTAAGTGTTAAACTTCTGATTCTTTCCTTCAACTGAAACACTCTTAAAAGTAAACCCCAAGGTGTTTTTAAAAACTATCCTAATCTTGGTGTATGGAATCTACATTGAAACAAGTGAACTTATCCTAATAGTAAGTATTCTAAAAGCTGAATTGTTACATCTTAAAAATGAGCCCAGAAGACACAATGGAAAAATGGTACAAGATTCCCAAATCCACTACATAATGATTGACATTTCTGGCTGTTGTGACAAGCTTTAAGCTTACAAGTTTAAGTTTTAAACCTAGAAGTTACTGGAACATAAAATGGGTAAATAAATCCTCTGTTATGAATTTCACCAACCATTTCCCCAAAATTCTAAGACTGCCAAATTTCCATCTTCTGAGTAGCAACCTGTCTAATATAAACACTATAGTAGTTTTTTATTTTTTATTTTTTTGTTTACAGTTCTATGAAAACAGGTGGGTCAAACAAAAACTCAATTAGAAACCAATGAAGTTTGCTTTGCTGACACCAAATAAAATTTTTAGCCATAATGAATCTAATTTCCCTTCCATACATATTTTTCAGCCCTTAGAGAGTTCAATCTTCAAAATAAAATCTGAGTTCCTTTTCTACCATTCCCTCTTACAGCCTCAGAGAAAGTCAAATGAAAACAGTAAAAGGGTAGAAAGCCTATTCAACTTGAGAGTATTCTTTGGAGCGGAGTTGGTTTCCTATCACTTCCACCAGGCAATCTGGTGAAGAGGACTGCATATATAGAGAAGCTTTATACAAGTTCATCATAAAAAATGAACAAAGTCCATAAAATCACAAAGAAAAAAATTATTCCTTATCTACCCACCACATAAAGTCAACCATAATTAAATCTCCTTTACATTGTTTTGCTACCTTGTTTATAAGAAGTTGGCTCCCTTTAATCTACCGGTACTTTTGAGGGGTACAAATTTATTGGACTGTGCCAACTATAACCAAAAGGTAAATGCTATTAAAATCTGATAGTCTTAGAAACTGGCCTGCAGACAGTGTTGTATTTTATTTGGGGCATATTGTTTGAAAAGAAAATTGAAATGAAGATCTCTAAGGAAGTTTCTATCTTGCCATGGGTCTAATTACTTCTTATTGTTTTACATCAGGTTGTTTCAAATGTTTAGGTACCTGCCAGGGTGGGCCCTAAATGCATTTGAATTTGTAACCCCCCATAAAGTATTCAGATAACTGAATGTCTACTAGAAATTGAGAAGGTAAAAGTATCCTAAAAATATTTACCTAGTGCTTTCTGCCCAACTCAAAGTATGCACAAACTTTCAGTGTCAAGATTCACTTCCTGCCAAGATTTTATCTAGCTTGAAATGCATGTGAATTTATCTAGTCACACATAAAAAGTAAAAAAGGATAGATTATGAAGCCAATAAAATTAAGGAAAAAATGGTGTAGGAACCTCAAGTGATGGAAAATGTTCATCTTCTAAGTGAGTCCTGAAGAAGTAGAATTTAATAAAGTAAGTTTCTAGCAACAGGAGTGTGAATGCAGGGAGAAGGATGTGGATGCTGTCTGCTCTGGGAGCTGCAGGATGCTGGTTGAGCAGAGGGAGGAACAGGAGCCTAACAGAATACCTTGTAAGTATCATGAGGTCAGCAAACTCTAGTAGGAACAGTAAGAAACAATCTGATGAGAGCGTATCTGAATAGGGCAAAAGGAATCCAGTGGTAGAGTCTGGGATGAGTTAATGTAGAGATCTGGAGATCCAATTGATTTGTAAAATAATGATGCAGAGAACAATGATAGCAGATATACTTGGCAAAAATTTGCCAGATACCCCTTGTAATGGCCATAGTTGAGTGGACTATGCTGTAGTTTACATAAGACACTTAAACTTAACAAAATACTGGTTAAGTTTTGATAATTCTTCATTTTAAAAATAAATTAACCTTTATTTAAACGATAACTACTAAGTCTGTAGGGAAAAGTATCATGAGCTTCACTCATTAAATGGGTTTGTCTTTTCTTGAGTTACACACACCCAGCATGGTTTCTCCGAACACAACAGGAAATACCCTGATGCTTTGGGTGAAACCTGACACGCCTTTAGTGTTAACACGTTTCAAGTTTCACAAAAAGTGCTTCACTTGCCTGTTATTTAGAATCAACTCTGCTTTATCATTTTTCTTAAAATTTGTAAAACTCTGTTCCCCATAATTTTCAGTTGGTTTTGCAAAAAGGACATGGATTCTATCACTCTGCAAAATACATTTATCTGGAGCTGCTTGATTATGTTAAGGGAAATTTTAAAACCAACTATCTTACATATATTCTATTCTGCTTACTGGTATTATGATCTTTGTCATAACTCCTAACTACTGACCAGTGTGAGTGGTTGATTTTTTAGCAAGAGAGGAAAACATGGACCTCATAATGGTTCTGGTTGAATGTGTGCTTAACATACATACTGAAATCAGTAGCCGAACACTCTTCCTATTTTTATTCCTAGTAAGAGAATACCATCCAGAAGCAGATAATTAGGCAGATAATTAGTAGGGTTCTGTCCTACTACAGCATATATATTAAGTCTTCCCACTTAGGGTAAAGAACACTTCTCACTTAGGGTAAAGAACACTTCTGATCTTATTTGATGTTACAATGGTTTTGTGTCAAGCAAGAAAGGAGGGGGCACAGGGGATGGAGAAGCCAGAGAGGTGAAGAGGAAGAGAGGAGAGGAGAGAGAAGAGGGGGAGGATGATACACAGTAACAACTATCTTGACTATCTCTTTCCTTGTGCCATCAATTCCATAGGAATTCTCAACCTGAAGGCAAGAAATATTTAATGGCTATGACAAAGTATCTATAAGAAGTCTACAAAGCCCTAAACTCAGGAATATGCACACCAAAAATTATAATCAGGTTGAATTACATTTACCTCATATGCACTACAGTTTTAAAAATTCATATAAATACTGTTATGATTTTAAAAACATATAGCATCCAGAGGTAATCTTAAAAGTATTTTACAACAGTTTAAGCATGGGCTTTGGTGAATAAAATGGACTTTTGGCCCTCAACAGGCAACATGGACAGATGGTTCTTGCCAGCTAAATAGCAGACCAGACAACCCAAGTGAGTGAAGGCAATTTTTCCTCTCTGTTTTCTTTTTTTTTTTATTAAAGAGGAGTCCTCATAAATAAATACATACACATACACACACACACACGCACACAGAGTTAGTATTTGAAAAAACAGGGCTGGCTCAGATCTAACACCATATCCTAGTGGTTAAATCCCGACCCAGGAAAAAAATCACAATAAATTTAGACGTTTTGTTGGTGCTTTGTGTTTTATCATCATTATCAGTCATTCTCCCACTTCCCCTCGAATCCCAGGAATGGTTAACTCTTACCAGATGTTCTAAAGGCTGTAAACCCTACTCCATGAAAATGTCTGTTTTTATTTATACTTGATTATAAATGAAAAACAGCTAGTCTCCGGCTTGTGGTTCCAATTTACTTAAAGCATTTGATACTTTGCCAAGAGGAAAAATTCCAACTTCAGAAGGGTATCTGAGATGGACTACAATCTGCGCTATACTTTTACCCTGGAGTGCGTTTGCAATAGGAAACAACATGTTAGCATACACACACGGACATTACTTCTTCCCTAGTGGGAGAAGAAAACAAGATGGCCTGGACGGATGACCGTTTACTTTAGCTAGTCCAAGGAGTAACTCAGACACTGTCTATCTCTTTGTCCTAGTTTAGTCAAATAAGTTATCCACATTAATATTTAGTACATCATGTTACTTCATGTCAATTTCTCAGAACCAACAAGCAATGATAAGAAAGATAGCATAATAAGTCCAAAATTGTTTATGGTATCCATATCTTTCCTGCAGATTCAATGCAAAGCCAAGTCATTAAGGCAACATTCAGAAATAAAGGTATAGTAATAAAGAAAATAAGTTAAAAATGTAGTCCTAGCCCTGACCAGCCTGGCTCAGTTGGTTGAATGTCATCCCCACAAAGCGAAGGGTCACCAGTTCGATTCCTAGTCAGAGCATAGGCCTGGATTGCGGGCCTGGTCCTTGGATGGGGTGAGGTTGGGGCACAAGGGAAAGGCAACTGATTAATCAATGTTTCTCACATCGATGTTTTTCTCCCTCTCTTTCTCCCTCCCTTACCCCCTAAAAATAAATAAAACCTTCAAAAAAGGAATTTAGTCATACTTACCACACTAGAAATTTAAATGTATATGGTTTGTACATATTCAAATATAGATCAGGTTTTTTAATCTACTGAAATCATAATTTTAAATAAACCATCTAATTCCTCTTGGGAAAAGTGGTGTCAATTCTGGTTATCTTCTTAATCTTAAAATTCTGAGGGTCTACTGATTAGAAGAGACTTCAGATATTAAATAATTAAAAATATGAATGCACAGTCCAACAAAACTAACCTTAAAAAAGGCAAACCACTTGTAGTCATTCAACACAATCTCAAAGCCTTGATTGTAAATGATGGTGAAATGGCCAGAGTTGCCCCAGTCATCATATGCTGTATCCAACTTCTTAAGGTGTACCACTACTTTTTTTTCTGGTGGTCCTAAAGAGAAGAAAATGCACAACAATGGAAAATTATTTGTACTTCAATGGGAGGAAAAAGCCCCTGTACAATTCCACAATTTTTAAGCTGCTTTCCTTTCACGCCACCAAATGTGAGCCCATCTGGCTTGTGAAAGTATCAGACTTTCCATCTTGTTGCATCCCTCTGTATAGTTCCAGAGGGGTTTCAGTCCAACCTGGGAAGTGAGGGCTCAAAAGACAGAAATATGCCAACAGGCAGAGAGATCCTAAAAAGTGCAGCCCCTGCCTTCCCAGAGCATCCAGAGACTGAAGAAATTTTTCTACCGAAGAAAAGGAAAAAATGGGGGATGCTGAAGATGACAGGCAGAAATGAAGAGAAGACAAAATGGTAGTCAGAAAGTGGAACTATTAAAATATAAAAAGACCTGCTATCAGATCAAAAGAAAGGCAAAGGAAATGACCTCTTCAAAGAAGAAATGGAGCATCTTTCTCTATAATGGCTCTACAGTTCAGAACTTCAGAATCTGAATCCTTCCACAGTATTTAGCAAATTCAAGTTTCTGTCTTACAAAGCTAATTTGTGCCATTAGGAACTAAACTTTTAAGCTTTAGAAGATAGGGGTTCAGTCAAGTGGGTGTCTTTAATTATTATATTAAGGTTAAAAGTATAATTTATAGTCACAGGCTGACTAAACAAGGTTCTGCTGTGTGTGTCTAGAAGTTTCCACACTTGAGGCGTTTTTTCATAGTTCAGATTAATATTAGCTCTGAAATACAATGTGCCCAAACAGTACAAATCCTGGTCTCCCTTCTGCTTCATACCTTCAACTTCAACTTCTAAAACGGAAGATGGTTAAAATGTCCAGGATTATGCAATGCCAAAGTCATTTGGAGTTAAGACAGCTGAATCGATCTGTTTTAGCAACAAATCACCTGGCAATCTTTGCTCTGCCGACGAGGAGAGTGCAGCTGAAAGCTTCACTCAGTCTGGCCAAGCTATAGGCAGGCAAGGGTTTGGGCAGAACAAAGGTGCCTCTTCTGATCAAAACAGTATGTTTTTTCTTCTCACTTCACCAATTTCTTCCTCCTTGGTGTAACCATGTTATCTAAAGGGTATATGGAATATCCCAGTGTGTTCAAGTACTAGATATTTATTGAGTGCCTGGCATTGTGCTAATGGGTTATTAAAAGAACAAAAACACAGAATTTTATATACATCCCTGCAATACACAAAATAGTGCAGAGGGGTACCAGAAGTTTACGCAGACTAGTAGCATCGACACACATCTAAATCAAAATCGCTGGGCATAAGGGCTCTTTCCCACAACCTAAAAACAAAAACAAAACAAAAAAAAACCCCTTTCTGTTATATTCTCAAGTATTTGAGCTCAGTTTTCACTGGCAAAACAAACAAACAAACAAAAGTAGAACTACGAATTGGACCGGAGATGATAAGATTGCAAGGTCTGAACTCTCTTCCAAACCAAACAAACCCAAAATACAGAAAACAAAAATTAAGGGGGTAGGGAAACAAAGTCTTTTAGAAAGTATTGAAGCCCCAGGAATAACCAAGAAAAGGTGAAGTTAAAAGTTCTCAGCAGCTAAACTTGCACTTGGCAACTCTGGCTCTGGAGAGGGCATCCCAAGGAGCCCCGAGTCCAGCTAAGAGGCTCCGGCCTCGTGGAAGTGCGCTCTGCCTCGTGGAGGCGCTCGGTGTGGGCGCTGCGGGGAAAGGGACTCAGGGCGAGGGAAGGGGGACAGTCCGGGCAGGGCGGCTGCTTACCCATCGACGAGCAGTTGACATCACGCTGGGAACCTCCACGGCCCACCTGAAAGACCCAGGTGCCCAGCAGGTCAGGGTAGGTGCAGTTGGCAGGTGTGTCGCCGTGCGCAGTGCCAATGCCACAGAGAAGCAGCAGGGCAGCGGCGAGCTGAGAGCGGGGCCAGGGACCCATGCTGGCAGGGCTGGAGGCGAGGTGAAGGCACGGAAGCAGGAGGGCAAACCGCGCGCCTTAAAATAACCAAAGTCCGGAAACCCGACACTGGGCGGGGGCGGGGTCTCGGTCTCGGTCTGGGTCTCGGGGTGATGAGAGAGGGAAGAGGGGCGCTGGGGTACCTGGCTGCAGGTTCGCAACGAGCACTGCCCTCGCCGGGGCCTTGAGCCCCGAGAGCCACCAAGGACAAGGTTTATTGGCAAGGGACGACTCAAAATAGGATTTAAGAGTCAAAGTTGGTTCGCACGCGACCCAGACTTCCTCCTTGAGGGATTAGGGGGGCGCGGGGGAGAGAGGGAGAGAGAGAAGAAAATGAACGAGAGAGAATGAGGGAGAGAGAGAAAATGAGAAAGAATGGGGGAGAGAGAGAAAATGACGAGAGAGAGAGGGAAATGAGGGGGGATGAGAGAGGAGAGAGAATGAAAATGGGAACACACGCTCTTCAGCGCGGAGGAGGGAAGGCAGTTGAGAGGCAGAGAGACAGAGACAGACAGACAGACAGACAGACACTGTGAGAGAAGACGAGTGGCAGGGACAGGGGTCAGAGAGTCGGAGGGAAGGAAGGTGGGAGAGGGTGGGAAGGGAGACAGGTGAGCAAGTCCCAGAGGATCTTAAAGCGGAGTTTTGTTTTGCTTTTTCGTTTTTTTCTTACTAGCTCAAGTTTTTGTTCGTTTTTTTCTCATAAAATTGTACTCGCTGTCCCCAGCCGCCTCAGCAGTTTGAGAACTGCTGTTCCTTCCGTTTTTTTCCCAAACTTTCACTACCGTCTTTTGGCTCGGTTTTGCTAGATTTCCTGTTAATGTTGTTTGCCTATTACCCGCAAGAGAATTCAGTGCAGTGCAGACTTGCAGTTCTTGTGTACTAGTTGTTTTTGTTCCCCCTGCAGACTTTATAGGACTTAGTTCTCTCTCCCTCTCTCCCTCTCTCTCTCTGTGTCTCTGTCTCTGTCTCTCTCTCTCTGTCACACACATACACACACACACACACACACACACACAAGCTCTCATAATTCATGCTGCGGAACCCCTTCTCCTTTCACCCTTGAAAAGCATAAAGCCCAGAGAGAGGAAGTAATTTGCCCAGGGTGAGGAAGGGAGAAGGCTGGTCTTATTGAAAGAGGTGTAAGGGGTAGAATAGAAAATAAGATTTTTTTCCTCTTTCTTTTCTTCCTGCTCCATTATAGCCTTAGATGATTACTAATAGAATGTGTAACCAATTAATCAAATATACACATTTAACCTTATGTTCCAGCTGAGATTTCATTGCAGTTAAGAGTTGACCAGGAAAGAACAAAGGAATTTTTAACCCAGCCCTGAACCTAAATGCCAGGTCCCCAGGTATGCGGAGACTGGACGATTGCACCCCAGAAACACCTGGATGATGCACACCGACCACTGCCTGACTGGCTGTGAGATCCCTGTCAGAACACTGACTGTTCTGTTCCAGGAATCAGTGATGAAAATGTTCATCAAGATCAAAACCCCTTTTCCATACTCCCCCTGTATAAACTTGCCCCTGAGGAGCTTGGGGAAGGTGGATGTTAGGGTTTTTATCCACTGTCTTCTCTGATTTCTAGCATGTGATATTAGATGCACACTTAGAATCTAACCCCTGTCTCTGCTTTTTGGCTGGGTGGTGAAAGGCAGCACAAACCTCAGACTAGGTTGGCCTCCATTTCATCATGAGCAGCATCCCAGTATGCCAGGCCCATCTCTAGTAGTTATTAGGAAGCATTGGTGGGGGTTTAGAAAGCACCACCTCAATATGTGCCTTGTTGATATGCAGATTGTATTGAGCTCAAGGCAACTTTAGCTGTGGGCTCAAAAGAAACTTCTGCCCCTCCATTAACTGCCTGAAAGGCTTGAATTAGAGGACTTGCCCATAAAAGGACATCAGACATAACATTTTTAGACCTTATCTAGGAGGCAGGGCAAACTTTTGATTACTAAACATCTGCTATTCTTGTCATCTTGCAATGGCCCTTTAAAGCCCCCAAGTCACCTTGCCTCAACCATAGCCAGAATGTCATTTATGCATATTTTACCTTTCTTTCTTTAAACTTCTCATACATGTGGATCTTTGACCCTCTCCTGTTGTGGGGGGTTCATATACACATACATTTACATTATTTTCTCTTGTTAATCTGTCTAGTATCTATTTGATTGTTAGACCAGCTAAAAAAACCTTGAGGGTGGAGGAAAGTGCTTTCTTCCCCCCACCCAATGATTTCCAGGTGCCTCATTGCTCGGTTGAAATGTCACCTTTCCTGTTAGATCTCTTTTGACATTACAGGCTGATGTAGGAAGTTGGGGCTCCTTTCCTGCACAGAGACTGTTAGGTGTCAGGCCCTGTGCCAGCATTAAGCACAAGGGGTGAACAAGAGTTTCCTGTGTCCCTCCCTTCTAGGGCATGTACATTTTTGCCCTCATCACACTGGTGAACATAAGTATTTGTATGTCCATGCACCTTTTCCATCAGATGTAAACATTCAAAGGCAGCAAGTACACATTATTCACCTTTATCTCCCTAGATTCTGGCTTGAAAACACTCAGGAAGTATTATGGATGTTAAATGCACTTAATAACATTATCTTGGTTTCTAGGCCTGAAAGCCAAATTCAATTGGGCATGAGGAGTTGCCCTTGAAAATAGAGAAGTGAAAGTGCTCTCTAATGTAGACGCAAATTGCAAAGGCAATGGGGAGGAGACACAACACCCTATGTCTAGGTTTCATTGCCTTTTACTTAGAGTTAAAAGCTGGCATCATATGTTTGAGCTAATACACTGAACAGTTCAGAGATACAGTGGCAGAGTACCAATGCCTTCCTGATTCTCTAGGAAAGTATGTCATTGGTTGTTAAAACATTAAAACTTTTACTTGGTCATCAATATTGAAGAGGTGAACAGTGAAGTTGGAAATTTATGGGTGTAATCAAAGTAGCACACAACTTTGAAGAAGGTCTAAAACAATCTTTATTCAATGAATGATAAGTAGAAAGTGATCCTGGTGACCCCTTAGTCTAATGGATTCATTTAATACCAGGAAATGGAGATCGAGAGATAACAACTTGGCGAATGAATGCCACACTGCAAGTTACTGAGATTCAAGAATAAACCTCAGGTACCTTGATTTTCAATTGAGTTTATTTCCAATTATTTATTAATTAATTACAAAGGTTTTTCTCTCCCAAATAAAATATTAGCCCTCTCTCCATTAAGGGGTGGGGAGAGATTAAATAGTGATTCTCAAAGTGCTCAGATCCAAAGTTTTATTTTTATAATGAATATTTTATAGAGACTACAATATTGTGATTCATAAGGTGTATATGTATAAGATTCTTCTTATGAATCACAATACTATAAGATACATATATATCTTATAAATCACCTGACATATATATATTCACTTATTCAGATGACCACAATATATTTCTCAGGTATATTTGGTTTTCATCCATAGTTCCTGTCTCAGAGCTCCCCAAAACCCATGAAATTTCCTGAACAATAAGAGCAATGCAAGCCTCTTTTTTTAATACTATTTGATTTCTTCTAGGTTCCTAAAAATGCTTCAGAGCCCTAAAGGTGAACCAAGTACCTTGTTATTCATCCTAAGTGCTTCCACCACAACTGGGTTTATGTTAATTAAAGTGACATTTGCAAAGCACCTAAGGATGGGGGCTGGTTGCCAGGGGAACCAACCTTGAATAGAGGGTAAGAAACTTTTATCCCACCCCAGATTCCGTGGGAGGAGGGAAGGGACTAGAGGTCAGAGTAATCACCACTGGCTAATGGGTTAATCAATCACACCTATGTAATGAAACCTCCGGAACAACCCAAAAGGAGGAGGTTGGGAGAGCTCCTGCAATGGGGAACCAGAACACACCCAGGTGCTACCATGCCAGACTGCAAGCTCCATGAGGACGGAAGCCCCTTTGTTTGAACCTTGCTCCATATGTATCTTCTCAGCTGGCTGATGATTAGTATCCTTTAAAATCCTCTGCAGTAAACTGAAAATCTAGTGAATAAACTCAGCTCACTGCATTCTGTGAGCTGATCTAGTAAATTAATCAAACCCAAGAAAGGGGTCCTGGGAACCTCTGAGTTGTAGCAAGTTGGTTAGAAGCAACCATGTAACAACTAGGGCTTAAAACTGGCTTCTGAAGGGAGGGTTTTCTTGTGGGACTGAGACCTTTACCTATGGAATCTGCCTCTGTATCCAGGTAGATGGTGTCAAAATTGAGCTGAATTCTCAAACATTCTGCTGGTGTCCAAGATTAGTTGTTGGTATGGAAGGAACCCCCCTCTCATGTTGGAAATTGAGTTTCAGAACACTTTTCAAGAACTTTTTACTATTCTGAAATAAAAATCATATACAAGAAGTTACACATTTAATTTAAAAAGGAAAATAATAAATGTAATATAAAAGACAAATAAGAAGGTATTTTAAATGCATTTCTAATACCAAGACATATATTCCATCATCTAAAATGCTCTGTATGAATGTACTGGGAAACAGAATGAGACATTCAGGTATTCACTCTTTATGTCTCCATTTAACATTTTGGAATCACTATAAAAGTGACAGATACCTTTTCACTGATAACAGAAATGATGTTGGTGAGTTATATCTTAGATACTGTATCAGATGCTCACTTAAACACCTTACCTGAGTCATTGATGCCAGACTCTTGCTCAATACTCTTGGTTAAAAGTTATGGTCCAAATAGTTGAAATTGGCTTAATCTCTGATCAAAAATTACAGGGGGTGACTTAAAACTTTCTTGGCCAAAATGGGGCTCCTCTGAGATTTTAAAATTAGCATATCAATTGGATTTATGTCAACTCCAATGCTGAAATTTTTGAATTCACCAAAGATTAGGAGGCTTTCTTTAATCAGTATTTCAAGGTCTCAAAAGGGTACCAGGAAGCAGCTATGTCTGCCTTCCAAGGAAATAATTGTAAACTTCATACGTACCCATAGAAATTAGAAGAAGAAAAGACTTGTGCAAGCAACCCTCCTCCTTTACTTTCAGAATCCTCTAAAATCTCAGAGTCCCTCGGTCCCTATTTAGTGACCCCACCCCTAACCTACTCCTTTTGGTGAAACTCTCTTTATATTCTGTAAAAAGAGAGCCCATTTTAAAGTTCTAAATAACTTAGATAACTTCAAAGGACTCAAAACTGTCTCTTTGACTCATGGGACTGAAGCCAAACTTTTAGCCAAAGGATTTCCCAAAGCCCAAATTTAATCCCACCGAATCCAAAGGCACATTTAGTGTCATCATTAGTGCTTAACAGCCAGGTCTCTCCAATCCATACCAGCTCATCCACGTGCTGGTTGGCAATG